CAGTGGGCTCCGCTAGGACAACATGGGCACTCAGCCCGAGACCCAGGGCAGTTCTGGTGTCCCCACTGGCAACTTCCGCAAGGTCTGGGGTCCTGAGGGTTGTGGGGGTGAGGGGTAGGACAGAGGGTGCCGAGAGGGCCAAGGCTCTGCAGGGCATGTAATATTGCTCACCCACAGGTCTCCAAGCCGCTGATGGAGAAGAAGCGAAGGGCACGCATTAATGTGTCACTGGAGCAGCTCAAATCATTGCTAGAGAAACACTACTCGCACCAGGTGAGACCGGGGACACGGTGGAGGTGAGGGTTGGTGATACGATCCCCGGCCTCATTTGCTTGAACCCAGGCTGCGGTCCTGAGAACCCTCTCCATGGATCCGCAGATTCGGAAACGCAAGTTGGAGAAGGCGGACATACTGGAGCTGAGCGTCAAGTACATGAAAAGCCTTCAGAACTCGGTGCAAGGTAGAGGGAGGACCTGGTAGGATGGGGCAAGGGGCTGGAGAGGGAGGCTTGTGGGGTCAGGGCCATGGATTCTACAAGGCCAGATAAAGCAGAGATGAACAGAAAAGAACCGCTCAGGGCAGCTGAGTGAGGAGGTAATGCTGTAAGCGGGGAGGCAGCAAAAGCCTGGCTGGCTGCAGACTTGTAATCCGAGTGAGTGAAGGTCTGGACCCATGGGAGGGGGTGAGTTTCGGCCTCCCTCCCGTCCCTCCCCTCCCTCCCTCCCTAATCGTCCCTTTCTCCCCTCCCTCCTCTTCCATTCCTCCTCTCCCTCCTCTTCCCTCCCTCCCTTTCTCTTTCCTCTCTACATCTCTCCTTTCCTCCTCCCCTCCGTTATTCTCCCTTCCTTTCCACTTATCTCTCGTCCGCTGCCCTCCCCCCAGGGCTCTGGCCTGTCCCCAGCGGAGCCGAGTACCCGTCGGGCTTCCGCGGCTGTCTGCCCGGCGTTAGCCAGTTTCCGCGGCGCGGAGAGGAGGGAGGCGCCGGCCTGCACGGCCCGCTGGTGCACGAGCGCGCAGGCCGCAGCACCATGGACAGCGCCAGCCCCGGCCCGGAGGCACCCGCGCGGCGTGGCCCCTGCGCGCCCCCAGTTTGGGCCCCTGCTCCCGCCGCCGGCGGATCGCGGTCCCCGCCACCCCGGCGCCTCCTCTCTGGCGGTCTCCCCGGCGCCTCCACCAGCATCCCGGCGCCGCAGTCGACTTCCCGCCGCTTCGCGGAGAGCCCGGAGCCGGGGCTGCGCTTGTGGCGACCCTGGTGAGGCTCAGATGCGGCCTCGGACTCAAGGGGACCCTCGTCTGGCCTGAGGACGCAGAGACTGTTTTGAACGGCCGGGACCCCAGGCTAGGTTCTGATCCCAGAACGGGGTGACCGGGAGGGGGCCGCGTCTCTGCTAACTCGGGGAAATACACGAAACTATGATTGGACCGGGTTCTGAGCGTCTAGGCATAACCCCATCCCCGCCCCAGTTCTACCTACTCAGGCTGGACCCGCTTTCTGCTCCTCCCACCCTCTAGTGGGGCTGGGAGGAGGTGTCCCGGGCTAAGCCCCTTTCCCAGGGCCCTTGGCGGGCAGCCCGCCCTCTCCCCCGCCCCGCGGCCGCGCGGCGGTGGGAAGGTCGCCATCCGCAGCGGCCCAGAGCGGACCCCTCGCAGCGAGGAGAATCGCTGCCCCGCCCCGGCCCATTCAGCGGGCGGGGGACGCCCGGTTCCCACCGGCACAAAGCGACCCAGGCCCCGCCCCGCTAGCGAGGGGCCCCCAGCCCACCCCCACCCTAGACCCACTCGGCTTCCACGGATTCCCACCCTCTCCGCACGCGGCGCGGCCCACCCGCTGGCCCGCGCTCTGAAGTCGGTTCTCTCAGAAGCCCCCTCCTTAGAGGCCGCGCCTGGTGAGGTGCTGCGCCTACCGCCCCGGCCACCCGACGCCCTGCTCCGCCAGGCTCCTGGTAGGGAACCCCCGCACCGTCCTGCCAACTGGAGATATGCTAGGGCAGACTCCGGCTCCTCCCAGGGGGTAGTTCACTTATCCCCACTCGGGAAAGACCTCGGCCTCCCAGAGTCTCGGCCTTGGACCGCTGCCTCTAGGGAGCCCACCATCCTTGACAACCCTCGGAGCGCTGTGCGACGGTTAACGCGTCCGACAATGAAGTCATTGCTCTGCCCGGACTCTAGCCCGGGAGTCCCGGCCCTCGAAGGGCGGGCCGGGGGCGTGGATAAGAGGGATCCTGCGCTGAGACCAGGAAGAGATCGCGCACCTCCTCCCATCATTTTGAAAGGAAGAATAAAGACAGTGCCAACCTGTGGAATGGGTATAAAGAGGCCATGAAGGTTCTAATTTCTCCCCTACCTGACCCAGCCGGCTTTCTGGAGCCGGGGCGGGGGTCCCGCCGTGGTGGTCCTGGGGCGGCCTCTTGGGTCCCGCTTTTCTGCACTAATCCTGAGGGCCACCAGGTGGCGCTCTTACACCGCGGACCCAGTGGCGCGTCCTCTATATCCCAGCCCAGGTTGGTGGGCGGGTCAACCGGCACAATGAGTCCGCCTCCCCAGGCACGTCTCCCATCGCAGTGCCCCTGGCTTCCCCGATGGCTCAGATGGTATCTGCCTGCAATGCAGGAAACCCAAGTTCGATCCCTGGCTCGGGAAGATCCCCTAGCGAATGGAATGGCAACCCACTCCACTATTCGTGCCTGGACAAACCATGGAGTAGCAGAGTCGGACATGACTGAGCTACTAACTCTTTCTCGCTCTAAGAACCAGCCTCACTGGGGTTAGGGGTCCCTGAAGCCATCCCTAGGCAGGCGCTGCCACTTGCACTCACAGGGCTTTGGAGCCCACCAGGCCGTTGCTCCTGGCCCGACTCACCTCCAGGATTTGCAGAGGAAAAAGTCAGGTCCGACCCAAAGGAAGGGCGCACTGGAGGAGGAATTCAGGACCCAGAGGGAGAGACGTTTAGGGGCAGCTGGCCAGCAGTGCTGTTAGATTCTAGGGAGGTGTTTCCATGAAACTGGCCTGGTATTGCCCAGTGCAAATTATATAGGAAGTTTTTATTGGAGTCTGTACAGAAGAGAAATGCTCAGTTGTCAAAAAAAAAAAAAAAGCTACAAACAGATCCCTGGCTCTGGGCTGGGTGGATTTGAAGACAAATCTCCCTCCCAGGTGAACCCAGGGTCAAGCTGCTCATCAAGGCAGCAAACAGGCCTGGAAGCTAGACAAAGTGAGAGAGGGGAGCCCCAGGCCCTGGGGGCCTCCACTTGGAGTTCTCCCTCCTCTTTAATTTTGTAAAATCCAGGCCTGGAGGGACTTGAGGGGACCAGGCTTCCCTGCAAGTATTGCCATTGGATGTGAGATACACAGAGTGAAAACTCAAGGTGGACAAATTGGTCAGCCTGATGGGGGGGGACGGGGGAGACAGCGGCTAACTGGTGACCTCTGCCCCCACATGACATGTCGATCCTTAAAGGCACAGCAGCGTTGGCGAGGCAGGCCTCCCATAGCTGAGGCTTGACTAGAACACTCTGATTTACTCACCTGTGGCTAGCTCCTCCCCCCGAGTTACCCCACAGCCATTGATTGAAGAGGCCTCTGAAGCTGAGACAGAGCTGGGTAGTCCTCCCCAGGTCTCTCTGGAGCTGGGACACTGTCTGAAGGGCGAGGAAGCGGATCGGCCCTCAGAGGGGCAGAGGCAGTGCTGCAATTCCAGATTGCAGAGCAGGAGGGAAGAGGGTGTAGGCCAGCTCCTCACAGGCCCCTGGAACCCACTCCAGACCTTCACAGGTAGGGGCCACTGCATGGAGGCAGGGGATGGGATGGGACCCTTTGCACACACCCCCATCCCTACAACCCAAGGTCCACGGGTATTCCTGGGCCTCTTCTTAGCCTGAGCCTAGGGTCTTCCTCCATGCAAAACCCAGCAGACATTCCCTGGGGGTCCATGGCCAAGCCCAGCTCTGCAAGAGGTGTGCCTAGCATGGACAGCAAGAGAGTCCTTACTCAGGGTGGAGGAAGACTCACCATGGACCAGACCTTACACCCAGAACCTGGGAGGACTCTAAGCCAAGATCCCTTTCTGGCCAGACATGCACAGGTTGGGGATGGGCACCGAGATAAGGTAGCCCACTCCTGCTTTGCTTCAGTTCTCTCCACCACATAACCCACAACCTTCACGGCAGGGGTCCCAGAGGTGGCTGATGTGGTGGGCACAAACAATGAAGGCAGAGTGATGAGGGAAGGGATGCTAATAGGGGTCAAGGTGAGTGTGGTGCCACTGGTGATGGTGCAAGTGTTGTGCTTGAGTTTGGCTGGGGAGAGTGCCCAAGGGGGTCAGGGACACTAAGCGTGGGAGGCCTCAGGCTTGGGGGCCACACTAGGTCACTGAAGACTGACCACCACAGGGGACCCTGGGAGGATCCTACACTACTTTCCCTCCCTGTCCACTCCGTGGCCAGGGTACACAGACCAGGAGACCTGTCCAAACAGTCCTGAGAGTTAACATGGTCACCTGCTCATCAGATGGGGAAAGCGAGGCAGAACAGGTCAGCAGGGAGACCTGCTCAGAGAACTTGGTTTGGGCTCTGAAGACCCCTGTGCTTAGAGACCCTCTGTACCCCACCCCCTGAGGTGTGACAATTACAGTGCAGAGTAGAAAGCCGGATGGAGTCTGGTGGCTCCTGCACGGCTGGGTTTTGTTCTGTTTGGCGGAGTCCCACTCTGGGCAACCCACCATCACCATCACCCTAGCCCAGTTGCTCCGTGTGGAGCCCGCCTTTTCCCAGGCCCCAGCCTCACTCTGCCCCGGAGGTGCCCTGCCCAGAGGCTGGTCCGTAACCAGGATGGTTGTCCGGGGGGGGGGTGTCGTCCCTCCAGGCAATGGTCGCCCCGTCAAGGCTGGCACATGTCCGGGCAGCTTGCCCCAAGCCCAGCCCGGGCTAGGGTGGCATCTTTGGTGCTTTGGCCCCGTGGGCGGCCCAGCCCGCCTGGTGACTTGGGGGAGGCGCCGGCGGGCCCTAGGACGCGGAACCCAGCGAGTCCGAGTGCAGTGTGACGTAGCCCGACGACTCCGAGGGAGAGCTTAAGAAGCTGCTGGTGCTGCCCGCGCCCACAGCGCGCAGACCCCCGGGCTCGCCCCACGACGCGCTCAGGCCGGTCCGCAGGGTCCCGGGATGCATGTGTGCGGCCGGGAGAGGCCCGGGGCTCCTCTCCGCGCCGCCGCCAGGGGGCGCCACGTCCCCACCGGGCTGGGCGCGGTCGGGAGCAAGGGCGCAGGCGGGGAAAGGCCCTGGCGGGACGGGCTGGCGGAGCAGGGATTGCGGCTCCCGCTCGAAGGCGGTCAGCGCGAAGGCGTCGGGCAGCAGCGAGGCGGAGGCGCAGCGAACGCCGGGCCCGGGGCGGTGGCAAGGGCTGCTGGGGGGTGAGCCGGGGGCGCGGCGCGGGCCGTCGTCCAGGGTCGAGGGGCGCAGCGACAGCAGGCTCTCGGCCGAGCGACGTCGCGGGCGGAAGGGGGGCGCGTCCTCTGAGAGGGCCAGCAGACTGCCGCGGCGCCGATCGGGCCCGCCTGGCATCACCAGGGCGGCCAGGTCCTCGCCAGAGCCCCAGCGCGGCAGGAACGTCGGCAGCGGGACGGCGGCCCACACGTCTGCGTCGTCGTGCGAGAAGCGTCGCGTAGGCGGGACCTGTGAGAATCGCGGGGTTATCGCCCATTACCCTCCTGGAAAATGGGGACCTAGCCTCCCCTCCCCGGGCAGAGTGGCCTGGAGTCGGGGATCACCAGGCCAGGGGCCCCTGGTTTGAAGCTGTGCGATTTAGGGCAACTGACGATCTCTCCAAATCTCAGTGTTGTCATCTGTAACTGGGGAGAAGTCCCCTTGAGTAGGGTGCTGAGCCCCAGGGAAATAACACAGGTGCCAGTTGAGCACCCTCCTAGCGCACAAGGGAGCTGGGGCACAGGGGCTGGGGTGCCCTCCATGGACTCTGTGACCTGGGGCCAGCCCATTTTGGGAGGTGAAAGGCAACCCTGGGACAAGATGGGCTCCTACTCAGAGAAGAAAGGCCTTGGAGAGGTCAGGGTATCCCCCACATGCATATTCCGCGTCTCCAGCCCTGCCTGTCTCTACCTGCAGGTACTGCATCTTGTCCTCCTGCAAGGGCCTCAGAGGGTAGAACTGGGGCAGGCCCCCCTCCTCCAGGGTAGAGAGCTCATATTTGGCCATCCTGTCCAGGGCCACAAAGTCGCCCCCGTAGCTGTAATCCAGGGAGCGCTCCAGCACTAGGTCTGGGGGGACGCCACCTTCCAGGCTGGTATCTGCAGGGCAGGGCAGAAGTTTAGGGCCATGGAAACTTGGGGGGCTTCAGGAGTGAACCCCCAGGGACCCTTAGAGACACATGCAGGGCTGGTGGGCTGGCTAGCAGAAAAGGAGAAGGGTGGGGTGCTCTGTTCAAATCCTGACTCTGCCCCCTTTTAGTTGCGGGGCTGGGGAAGTCACAGAATCAGAGCCAGTTTCCTTCCTCTATGGGGATGGGAACTAAATAGACACAAGGCGCTGACACAACCTGGCAGGTGGCAGGGGCTCAGCCCAGGGTCACATTGTTACTGCTGGGGAGAGACAGGACTGGGTCCTCAGGAGCCCCTGGGGACAGTTCGCCAGGACCCCTAAAGTCAGAGACTCCAGGAAATATTCAGGCTGGAGTTCATAGCCACTCTGCTAACCGGAACATCTGATTAACTGAAACCCTAGTAGAGGAGCAAGCCAGGCAGAAGAATGCTCCATGGGACACTGGGCCCCTTAGGGGTTCAAGCACCTCTGGGGTAAATCAGGGAATCTGAAACCTGTCCTCCCACTGACCCCAGTGATCTCCCCCAGGCGCCACTCTCCTCGGGGCCTTCCTCACCATCATCCGAATCCTCATCATTGGCCATGAGGGCCATACACTTCTCCCAGACAGCCTTGAGATCAGCGCGGTAGCGGTCACAGGCCCAGAGGAAGACAGGCAGCAGCAGGGCCTGGGTCACCGAGCACCACAGCACACACAGTGCCATCCAGGGCGCCGAGGCGTCTGCCCGTAGGCTGCTGAAGCTCACCACCTGTGGGCACAGGGGTCGGCCTGGCACCCGGCAGGACCCCCATCACCCCGCTTCCCCTCCCAACCTCAGTTCTCCCATATGCAGGGCAGGTCTGACTGCCCACCCGCCACAGGAGGAGGCAGAGGAGGTGACAGAACTGCAGGCTCTTCTTGAGCAGGAAAGGGCCGGAGTGTGAAGGGAGAAGTCCATGCCCGCCCACCGACAGCTGCTCACTGCCAAGACGGACGGTCAGAAGACTGTGTGCGCACCAGGAAGCACTGGGTACGACCTCCCTCATTTCATCCGTGACCGCCCAAGGACGGGGAGTCAGGATTACCATCCCATTTTTGAGAGCCAGGTCTCCAATCTCCCAGATCAGAGACTTTCTACCATCCTCCTTGCTCCCTGGCTCATGATCTCCTTGGCCCTGCCTCTACTCTTGGGGTTGACCTCAGACCCAAGTGGGGAATCAAAGCAGTTTCTGAAGATCAGAGGGTCTAACCCCATGGCTTTTGTTTCATGGCCCAGGGGCCCCTCATTCCTCTGCTCCTAGGGGAGTTCACTCCTCCATTTAGAGTGACACTGAACCGTTCCCCTTTCAGAGACGAAGTGGGCATGATGCAGACATACACTGGTTCTTCCACGCGAGCTGTGTGACCTTCAGAATGATGCTAAACCTCTCTGGGGCCCAGTTTCTTCATCTGTGAAATGGGCTGAGAACATCTTGAGGCAAAGATTCCAGACACTGCACCAGCCCTGCAGCATCATGTGGGTTCCTTAAACAGTACTCCCATCTATTCATTACTGAAGAGAAGCTGGGGGGCCCTACCCCACTGCTATTCCCATCTGGCTCTGCAATTTCACACATGTGCCTTCCCTCTACCAGCAGAGGCCCCACTGCACACAGGAGGTCTCCACCTAAGGGGTACCAGACCCGTTAAGGGTGGGGCTCCACCCTGCCTATGAAGCTGCCACCCCCCTACCTGTCACCTGCTGAGGCTGGGGTCCTGCAGTGATGCCCTGCTCAGCTGCTAGGATGAAGCCTCTCTAGGGTCCTTGCCCCTCCACCTGTCCCTGTCCAGTTCTAGACCCTCTTCAGGGGCTGGGCTGGAACCTTATGTGTGGGAGGGCTTGGCTCCTGAGTCCAGACATCATTCTTGGGCTAGGCCTGGGGCACAGCCTCATAGACAGGAGCCCAGGCAGCCTCCGTGGACCTTGGACCCTACCTGGCAGGGTCTTCAGACCAGCCCTCACCTTGACTTCCTCAGCTGCTGGTGCGTGCTTGCTAAGTTGCTTCAGCTGTGTCCAGCTCTGTGACCCCATGGACCATAACCCGCCAGGATTCTGTGTCCACAGGTTTCTCCAGGCAAGAATACTGGAGCAGGTTGAAATGCCCTTCTCCAGGGGATCTTTCCAATCCAGGGATCAAACCCACATCTCTTACTTCTCCCACACTGGCAGGCAGGTTCTTTACCACTAGCACCACCTGAAAGCTTGTTTGGCCGCTGGGATCAAGTCCAACTCTCCAGCACACATTCAAGGCCTGTCCTGCCTCCCAATTCAGGACCAAAGCCAATTCTGCCGCACCACATTCCCCCTCTGTCCACCCTGGGACCTGGGCCCAAGAGGAAGCCTGTGAGCCCACCTTCCATACCCTCTGTATCAAGTGGATCTCACCCAGATCAGGGGTGGAAAGTCTCCTGCCGTGTGATGGAAAGACCCTGGTCTCTGCAGCCACCTAACGTGGGTTCAGTTCCCACCACAGCTGCCCTGACTGTATATTGGTCACTTGACCTATCTGAACTTCAGTTTCATAACTTATAAAGTAGGGGAGATGATGATGCCTCCTGAAAGGATCAGTGTGAGAAAGATTCAACTGCTAATGCCTGGAGCACCCAGCCCTACTCTGTCCCAGAGCCCATGTCCCCTCTCCGGGCTCCTACCACCCGCCAGGCTCACCCACCAGCACGGGGAAGCCCATGAGGCAGTCGTAGATGACCACGATGGTGGCCACCAGGCCAGTGATCTGCAGCGAGGTCCTGGCAGGCTCCGAGCCATCGATGGAGGAGCGGCGCTTGCCCTGCGCATCCTCCACCACGATAGTGGGCACGGTGAAGGCGCGGCGGTCTGCCCGGCGCCCCACCTGCACCACCAGTGTCTGGAAGAGGGCAATGGCCGTGCAGACGGCACCCATGGCCACACTGCCGCCCACCAGCAGCAGGAAGCAGACGCCAAAGCCCAGGCCGATCTCAGCCACGATGAAGCGGCAGCCGTGGGTGTAGAAGCGCTCACTCGTGTCATGCCAGCCAACGGCAGGCAGGGCCGACAGGATGAAGGACACCATCCAGATGCCCATGACCGTATGAACCGCCTGCTTCTTGGCGTTGCTCAGCCTGGCACAGGGCAGGGATAAGACAGAGAGGGACCTGGTGTCACTCACAGGGTCTCTCCCCAAGCCCTGAGGGTCCTCGACTGCCCTGGTCCCCAAGTACATCATCACATGTCCCTTTCCCCAAGCACTTCTCTACTGGGTACCTACACACCCACACACACCTACATGCACACACCCCTGCAGCCCTCAGTGTGACACAGGTGCCGCACCCCGCAGGGGGGCCCTGTCCCCACGCTGAGGCCACTGTGCGCTCAGGCACACATACCCGCCTAGGATGTTTGTGTGCACACAGGTACCTGCCCAAGAACTCACCTGTAGTTGACAGGCCAGCGGACCATCCACATGCGGTGGTAGGAGAGGGAGGTGACGGAGAAGCAGGTGGCCAGGGTGAGGGTGTAGAAGGTGGACACGAAGACCTTGCAGAGGCCCTCGTTCCACTCGTAGTCGGGGCGCTGGCGCCGCAGCTGCACCACGGCGTAGGTGGCGATGGGCACGGCCACGTTGAGCATGTGGGTGGCCGCCAGCATGCACAGCAGGAACTCTAGGGGCTTCCACTTCTTCTGCTTGGCCCCCACGCTGAGGATGCCCCAGGCGTTGGCCAGCAGCGAGAGCCCTCCGCACGCCAGCCAGCCCACCGCACTGCCAGGCAGCCGCCTCTCATCACTCATGGTGCAGACGGGAGCTGGCCGGTGGCTGGGACATCCTCTTCAAGCCGGGCCTCAGCTCAGCGCAGCAGTCCTCACACGTGGCGGCCCAGGGACACCGGGGACCACGAGCATCTGTGGGGGGCAGGGGCGGGCAACACAGGGCACTCAGTGACTCTCCCCTGGCTCCAGCAGCAGAGCTCTTGGGGCTCCTGGAAGTGGGAGAGAGAGGGGTCCTCTGATGCTCCATTATTTGTCTGGTCCTGGCGTGGGCGGGGCTGCTTTGCCTTCCTCTCTCTTCTCTGAAGCCTCCTGGCTCCTGGGCGGGGGGTGTATACAGTGGTGCTCAATCAATGCACATCCCCTCACTTCCATCTACTCCTGGTCAAGGTGCAGCATCTAGGCTTGCTTCCAGGTTGCGTGCATCCTCAGGGAAGCTGCCAGGCCAGGCCCAGGTGGGCCCTGTGCCATAGGCGTACCTGGCGTTGTCCCAGGACCAGCCCTCTCACCTTCACACTTCCCAGATCCACAGGCAGCCCACACGACGCTGCCCCAGTGCATGATGGGGGCCCTCAGCTTCATCCGTCCCACTTCATTTGGCCAATGAGGACAGGCCTGGAGGATGAGCCCCCTGAATCTCTGCATGAGGAAAGGATGATCTGGGGACCAGTTTCCTGCCCACTCTGGGAAAGCATGGCCTGCTTTTCCTGGGTCAGCCCCCAGCAGGCCTTCCATGGCTGGGCACACCCGGAAGGCCCTGGCAGAACCCCAGGCTGGGAGTCCCACCAAGCTCCAGCACACTAGCTGTGTGGCCCCACAAAACCTCACTCATATCCTCTGAAATGAGGATGATGATGCTTCCTCCAGGGGGCAGTTGGGTGGACAGACGCCTCATCTCTAAAGCCCAGGGCAGGCCAGGTCACAAACACAGTGGGTGCTCCAGACACCTTGAGTAACATAGGACTATAGCTGGCCACAGACCAGAACTTGGCCCCAAGGACAGCCGGTGCAAAGGATCCAGGGACACAAGACCCAGGCAGGAGGCACGTGTTGGGGAGCTCCCCCATCCTGCCAGAGAGCGAGAGGGTGACCCCCCCTTCTGGCCTGGCACCTCCCTGCACAGAACAGTGGCCAGTCGTCTGATATGAGGCCCACCATAGCAGACCACTCTGGCCACAGTCTGGAGCAGGCAGTGTGGAGAGAAGCACAGTGCGAAGTGCAGGCCTCCTGTGTACGCTGCCTACTCTTGGCCCTTCTCACTCTCTAGCCTGTTTAATCTCAGTGGCTGCAATTCTCTTGTCCCCAACAGAGAAGATCCCCTGGAGAAGGGAATGGCTCCCCACTCCACTATTCTTGCCTGGAGAATCCCATGGACAGAGGAACCTGGTGGGCTACAGTCCATAGGGTCGCAGAGAGTTGGACATGACAGAGACTAACACTTTTAACACCTATGGGTGCCCCTGAACCAGACACAGCCACGTGATCCCCCAGGCACTGCTCCCAGCTTGCTTTGGACAGGCCATTGCAGGCCCCTGTACTCAGGAAAGGGGAAACACTTCCCAGCCCACTGCTGGGCACCCCTGCTCATGTTGTGCAGTGTGTGGCCTTGACCCCTGTGGACACCAAAGGACCTCTGAGTCCTATGAGTCTCACTCATCTCTGTGCCCCTGCTATGGGCCTGCCTGGGCCCCTGACCCAGATGAGAGTCTATTCCAGACCACACTAGTGCCCACTAATGGCCTTGAGGGGGGCTGGGGGACTTCTGGAGCCAGACAACTTCCCTCCCAAACATTAGGCTTCTACTTATACACCTGCTGTCCCTTCGTCACCCCAGACCCAGCATGGGAGGAGAGGTGGCCCCACTGGACCCTCCAGCAGTTGTTCAGGTGTCCAGCAATCCTCCTTGACCTCAGCATACAGAGGCCACTGGTGTGGGGTAAAGAGCTGTTAAGACTCCAACTCCAGCTCCCCAGCCAGTTACATGACTTAGCTGGGCGTCAGTTTTCTCATCTATAAGTGGACATGAGGTTATCTGTCCGGAGAAGCATGTGGGTAGCCAGGAAGTTATGCCAGAGAAAGTGCTCAGAATGGAGCCAGGCACATAGAAAGTGCTCAATAAATGCTGGCTGTGTAGATGTGTGTACTAAAGGCCTCCCTGCTCTCTGAGCTACAGCACCTCTCAAGGTCCAAGACATTGAGCTCAGAGGTGTATTTGAGCCTCAGACCTGCAGGCAGACACAAGGTAACCCCAACCAAAACCTGGGACAGTCCAGCTTTGGGGGTAATGAGGCCCCGGGGCTACCCTAATGGGTACCTTCATGGGGTCTGGCAGCCTACTCTGGGTCCAGAATGGGCAGAGTACACATGCTGCTGTGGGTCAGAGGCTTATGTTATCAAACAGAAGACCAGGTTCACCATGCGCCTGGGCTGGTGTCTATTTCTACTTGCACTGGGCTTCTGTGGCTGTCAAACTGGGAGGCCTTTCCTCAGATGCCCAAGCAGTCTGTCTGATTCCTGGGACCCTGGGCCCAGCCCAGCTCACGCTACCCACCTGTTGATTACTGGTGCAGAATGGTGGGGAAGATGCCACAGGCTGTCACTGGCACAACCCTTCATGGTGCCAGTTCTTCTGAGTCTAGCCTAACAGTGTCTCACTTCAGGGAAGGGTCCCAGGTGTGTGGGCAGGAGAATGTGCCCTACAGGGGACTTTCATCCTTCAAACAGGTGCCTTCCTCTCAATTCATATGCCCAGTGATCTTGTCTGAAGGACTTCCATTATCCCTGGTGGTCCAGTGGCTAAGACTCCGAGCTTCAAATGCAGGGGTCCCCAATCCCTGCAGATCAGGGAACTAGATCTGTAACTAAAACCTGGTACAGCCAAACAAATAAATAAATGTATATATATTTTAAAGATGGTTAAGCAGAGGTAAAACCATTTGCCTGAGTTCTTATGTGCCTGAGCCAGGATCCAAACTCTGTTTGACATCAAAATCCAGACTTCTTATACATTAAAATGCTTGGATACTTGGCTTTTTCTTGTTCCTTGAGCTGAGGTTGTCTTTCTGAGCCTCCTACCCAAGCAAGATGGGTCCTACTGTCCCAACAATACAGACGGGAACAGTGAGGCTCAGAGTCCAGGGCAACACTGGGGAGGAAGCCTGGACTCTGTGGACTCCTGAGCTGGTTGGTGGTCCTGGGATGGGGGAGGAATATCTCCGGGATGGGCTGGGGAGTGGACAGCACAGTCTCTAAATGCAGAGTGAGAGGGGTCTGGCTCTGCAGAAACCAGGAGACCCTCTTCTTCCAGACTGGTGACACCTTCTGCTCATTCACAGGGAGCAGGGCCAGACCCCAACACCCCGCATCACAGTTTCCGCAGCATTCCAGGACCGGACTTCTCCCTCTCTTGCATCTCAGGAGCCGCTCCCTGCCGTCCCCTCCCCCTAGGACACCGCTGGGCAGGCTGCAGGTGAGGCGGGCCTGGGACCCACCGGACTCCCTCCGCAGGGTCTGCGGGCGGGGCCCCGACGTGACGTCACAGCCGCGGGCCAATGAGGCCGCACGGCCCCAGGGCTCTATTGCGCAACAAAGAGAACCCTGAACTTGAAAGGATTCCCGGGCTCTGCTGCCGCCCCCAGGCTGCTCTCCGCCCGCGCTGCTGCCCATCGGTCCCGCAGGGCCCCTCTCGGCCGCCGCCCAGGGAGGAGCACTGTCCTCCGATCCCCCGCCCGACCTGGCGCTCGGTCCGACCCCAGCGGGGCCCCCGGCCCTGCCTAGCCCCGAGGGCGCGTCCGAGCGGCGGCCGGGAGCCGAACGCCGACGGGACTGCGGTCCCGGACGCCCCCCGAGCTTCTCTGGACAGGGGTGGGCCCGGGACTCTCAGATCGGCCATCCCCGCCCCCTGCAAGCAAGTCCCCCGGGGCGGCGCTTCCAGGCCCAGAGGGAGCGGCCGACCCCGGGGAAGTTACGCCGAAGGTCCCCAAGTTGGGGGGGCGAGGGCGGGGTGCGCAGACCTAAGAGGAGCCCACAGCCATCGGACAGGCCCTGTGACGGACAGACCGCGGACAGCCCCTCCCCGCCCGAAGTCCCCCCGCCTGGGGTCGCATGCCCGGCCGCCTCCGGGCCAGGGCGGCGGCGCTTACCCTGCATTCGGGCGCCCGAGGCTCCAGTTCGCTGCTCCCGCCTCCGGCTCCGGCTGCGGCTCCCGCGCCCCCTGGCCGAACCGCGGGCGCCTCCGCGCCGCCCCTCGGACCGCCCCGCCCCCGCCTCTCGGAGGCGCGGCCCGCTGAGTCTGTCTGTCGGTCCGCGAGTCTGTGGGTCCTCAGTCTCGCGTCGGCGGGGGCGCGCCCTCCGCATGCGAGCCTCCCGGCCGAAGCCCCCTAGGAAGGGCGGCGCCTCCAGCGAAGCATGGGCAAGCTTGGCCTCTTGCTGTCGTCTTGGGTCTGAACACACTCTGGACTCTGGACACGGCCTGCCAGCCGCCTGGGGGCCTGGGGCAGGAATGGACAGTGGGAACCTAGGGCCGGGAGTAGAGGGCTCAGGGACGGCTTCTCAAAGAAAGCTGGATCTAAGGTGAACTATAGGGGCGGAGCATGGAGAATACTTGGGGGGACCTGAGGACCAGCGGCCTCCAGAAATTAGGGAGTCGTTCCTGCGGGGAGTCCGGGCAGGGAGAAGTGAGGTTGGGTCAGCTAAAGGTTCAGACAGAGATTCGGGCCGGCGCGGAGGTTGGGGAGTGGCGGGGGCGGGGGGTCCACCATGGGAATAAGGGATCGTGTGAAGGGACCACTGGGCTGCCGGTTTTTAACCTCTCCTCCCATGGGCTCAGAAATGTTCTCTGAGAAGCTGAGACCAGACCACTCAGCTGGGAGGAGGCAGGAAGGGCGAGTCGGAGTCCCTGGCCCTCTCTTCTCCCTCCATCAGGAGCTCACCCTCCATTTAGCTAGCCGGGGCAGAGGCTGTCACCACTAGGCTAGGTGGGGAAATCCAGTAGTTGCCTTGATGGGGGTCTCTGGAGACCCAAGTCACGAGAGAGAGTGGCCGCTGGCATCCTGGCAACCTGGCCTCCCTTCCAGCCAGAGGATGCTGCCTGCCTCTTCTAGGAAGCCAGTGACCACATGCATCCTGGACAAGAGCCCTCCAGAGTCACTCCCAGGCATCACAGCATTGTCCTGCCACACATCTGGGAGGCATCCATGAGCGGGAAGCCCTGTGCCCAGAGGAAGGTAGGCATCTGCCCAGGACCAGAGTCAACCAAATGCAGTGAGGGCTGGCTGCGCCACCCCATAGCCTGGCTCCTGTGCCCACCTACACCGGCTCCACACCTGGAGACAGCTGGAGAGTTAGGAGCAGCTTTTAGGGGACCCAAAGGGAGCCTTAGGGTCAGTCTTGTGAGACACATTAAAGCTGTCTGAATAGCACAGTTCCACAATGAAACGGGGTTGGTGAGTGCGAGTCCTAGGCCATGGGCTCCCTGAGTGTGGCTTCTGGGTGATCAGGGCCCCTGTGAGCTCTCCGTGGACAGGCCAGCTCCCTGCCCATGTGGTCCTGGTGGTAAACAGACCAGCAGCAGTGGGAGGCTGACAGAGGGTAGCTGGTAGTCAAGTGTGGCATTTCTAAGGCCATCCAGAGCCTTGGGCCCGACTGCTGCCCAGCGGCAGAGGGCAGCATGCCCCATGCCTGTAGCCCCAAGTGCACCTCCACAGCTCACCACGGTCACCTGGACTGGTACCCCTGCCCCAGCTGGCTCTGGGGGCATGTGGGAGATGAGCTTCCCAGGGCTGCCTTGGGGAACCCCAGGACCGGGGTACTTGGGGCCTGGCATGACTGACTATGGCTTCTCAGGGCAAGGTTTGGCCAGCCTGCACAGGATGGTCTTGCTTGCCCTGCCATGCAGGCCGCCTCCTCCTCCCTCCCTGCCTCGGGCACCCAGGAAGCTGGCATGGGAGGTGGGGTATGGAGCTGGGGAGGCTGAGGCAGCCTTCAGGGGCTGGGTTGCTGTGGCCTCTTGTGGGTGTTCCCTCCCGATGCTCCCAGGCAGGAAACAAACCCGTCAGCCGGGACTGGGGCCGAGACGGATTCCGAAGGTCTTGGCGGGTGTTTCTGCACATCTGGAGCTGCATTCTCTCTCCTGGGCCCAAGGGAGCCCTGTGTGAGGCTGCGCCATTGACAACCAGTTTCATCTCTAGGCTTCAGGGATGAGCCTGGGTCAAGAACATTCTCACAGGCAGTGATGACCAGGAGTGCTGTTGGAGGGGACTTTCTCAGCTGTAGGTGGGTGGGTGGGGACCTGGACCCTGCAGTGGCCTCAGCCGCTTACCTGCCCTGAGGCTGCTGGACCAGACACGTGCACATGCACACACATGCAGCCTCCTCCCTCACACGTGCACACACGTGTTTGCAGAGACAGGGATTCCGATACAAGTGCATGCATGCACACAGGCTGACACACTGCCCCTCAGACCCCCATGCCACAAGCCTTCCCAGTAACCCCACTTGCCCGAGTGGCTGGGGGTTCCCCCTCAGGCACAGAGGCCCTGGCACTGGCTGGGGAGGCCCCCCTCCGGCAGAATCCCTGCCTCTTGCTCTGAGGTGTTCAAGCTGCCTCTGGTGAGGAGAGGCCAGGCCCAGGGCAGGGCAGCTGTGGTCAGTCTGGCTGAGTTTGGCTCTTTCTTTTTTAAAATATTTAACTTATTTGTCTGTACTGGGTCTTAGTTGCAACACGAGGGATCTTCAATCTTCATTGCGGCATGTGAGATCTAAGTCCCTGACCAGGGATTGAACCCCAGCCCTCTGCATTTGGGAGCGTCTTAACTACTAAACCACCAGAGAAGTCCCTGAGTTTGGCTCTTTCTACCAAAACTTGGTCCTCACAAGTGCCCCAGCCCCCATCAATGGGAAGGCACTGGATGGGGCCTCAGAGCCTGGAACCAAGGCCCCTGGGCTGGGGTGGGAAGGGAGGGAGGGGTGATCTCTCTGACCAGCAGGTCATCAGGCAAACGCAAGTGGGCCCTAGGGCAGGTCCAGGTCCAAGCACCCAGAGGAGTGAGGGGCAGGAGGGTGGCCCCCAGGAAGGTAGAGGAGCCCACTAGGCCCCTGGGTGACCCCCAGATCCCACACCCAGGGAGAGCGCAACCCCCCAAGACACACGACCACCCAGACCAAGGTCCAGCCAAACAGTAGCTTTATTAGTGAAGCTGAACTCTACATACGGTACGTGTGTGCCCAGGTCACCCCAGGGTTTCCAGGGACTGCGCGGGCATTGGGACAATACTGTGTAGCATTTACACTGGGGTGATATAAATAAAGCTTTGGTGTAGAGGTTTTCGGGAGAGGTTAACACTGTGAGACGAACACTTCACACAACCCCAGTTGTCAGCGTGAACTGGGTTTTTGGCCGGGGGGTAACTTCTAATGATGCGGCGCTGGGGTCTGTTCCAGGCCGGAGGGGCGTCTAGGCCTGAGTCTCCGCCTGGCCCTGCCGCTTCGCCTTCATCTGCAGGTACCGCCCTTTGCCTTCCTCGAAGCGCTTCTTCTCGTCCTCAGTCTCGGGCTATGGACACACAGAGGAGCAGGCAGGTTAGAGAACCAGGGAACGTGGGCACCACCCCCGGAGGGCAGAGAAGCCGCGCCAGGCCCATCTTCCTGCAGCCCGTGGGGCAGAGGCCCCACATTACTTTCCACAGCAGGCGGAATGCTGAGCCCAGGGCCTTCATGAGAATGAACTTTAGCTGAAAATGCAGTTGATAATGAACCTGGAAGAGGGGCCAAAGGGGGACCCTGTGTTTGCACTCCCAGTGAATGCCAGCTACTCTTGGTCTCTGCCCCAAAGGGAAGTGGGGACAAACACCGTGCTGACTGTGTGACCTTGAGAAGGCCACTTTATTCACTGGCCACTTTACCAGGAGCAAGTGACCACTTTGTGGGCAGTCACCCCTGGCCAGCACAGAGGCCTAGGAAGTGGCACCTGGTGTCCACCTCACCTCTTCTCTGTAAAACCTAAGAAGCCAGGTCCTCAAGTGACCAGAGACTTGGCCAAAGGCCATGTTTCGCCCAGGACCATCCTCGCTCATGCCTGCTGATCAGTATGACAATGAATGGACCCCCTTTCACTCTTGAGGTTGGCCTGACCCAGTCACTAAGTGCTGTGGCCCCAGAGGTCACAGCAGCAGCACCATTGGTCACTTAAAAGGCCCCATCTGTCCCACCACAGAGTTCTTTCTCACCGCCCAGGGGTCAGGGATTCAGGCTTAAAGAGCTCTGCTAATTCCTCTGGACAACACTGCCTTGCGACACTCCGAGGGTGTCTGAAAGCCAAAGAAACGGGGCAGGCGCCCTTCAGCTACAATGACACCAAGCCCCAGCAGCTATTTTTAGGCCCAAGGGTTTTACAGGCAAATGGTATATTGACAAAAGAGAGAACAATCAGCCAGAGGACAGAATGTCAGGTTATACCCAACACTCCCTCCCTTTCAGCCTTCTCAGAAATGGTTCTCTAAATGTCACCAGGTGTGAACTATCAGAACCTCACGGCTTGGAGCCAACAGAACACCCGGGCATCTGAAGCACTAGATTGTGCTTCTTAGAGTGGTTCTGGTCCCTGACTGAAGACTCTCGGGGTACACGTGGAAAACGCTGACTTTTCCAAGATACTTTATTGAAGGCCGGCTCTGGTTTCATCTCTGGCTGACTTTTTAAAAAATGAAACTTGACGCTATGCTATTTGACCTAAAACAGCCCAGGAAAATAGAATGTTCTATCTCCATTTTAGCAGGAAATTCTAAGTCGGTGGGGGCACAAGTACTTCGGGCCCCAAGTACTCCAGCCCCTGCTGAAGGCACCCCATGAAGACAAGGCCACATCCTGCTGAGCCCAACCCAAGGCTCCTGTGTACATGCAGGTAAAAGGTGCAAGATCGGAGCTTCTCAAATGTGCATGTACAAGTCACTGAGGATCTTGTAAGTGTAGATTCTGTGTCTGCAGTGGGTCCGGGGCTAGGACCCATTTCTAACACATGTCGGGCGATGCAAGGCAGCTTGCCCATGGAGCACTGTAGGTAGAAGGACCCTGGTCCCTCTCCATGTCCATCCCTGTTCTAAATGAAAGTGAATGTCTGACTCTTTGTGACTCTATGGACTGTAGCCTGCCAGGCTCCTCTGTCCAAGGGATTCTCCAGGCAAGAATATTGGAGTGGGTTGCCATGCCCTCCTCCTAAGGATCTTCCTGACCCAGGGATCAAACTCAGGTCTCCGTCATTGTAGGCACAGCCAAAGTGGCCAAGAATGCAAGGTCAAGGCCATCAGGCTAAGACAGTAGGGACTTTTTCCTCTCCCACCTCTGTATGGGACTTGCCTGGCATGGTTGACCTGTGGCTCCCATCCATGATAGAAAACCCACTGGATTGTACATTTACACGGGCGACCACACAGCACATAATAATATCTCAAAACCACTGCAGAGGTGTGAGTGCCATCCTAGTTTACAGAAAGTCAAAGGGAAGGTTCAGCGTGGCGGGCCCCCACCCAAATCCGTGAACCCGAGGGAGGCAACAGGGCAGAGGTGATGTTCACGGAACTAAATCAGGGCTGGATGCACACGCTCCCATGAACACACCGAGCACCTTCCATGGCCCAGCTCGTGAGAGTCTGTGTAACCACCCAGGAGGCGTCCAGGGTTATCACGCCCCCCTCCTATGAGGAGGTGGGGCAGAGGCTGAGTGACCTGCCCAAGCGACAGCCTGTAAGAGGCAGAGCCACAGTCTGAGCTGCTGCCATCCCCTAGGCCAGCTTGTGCTGACAGGCTCTCAGGGGTGGGGCTGTTGGTGGGCAGCAGGGCACATGGTGGCCCTCCAGCATCACCCTGGTGAACATCCAGAATGAATCTGGAGCCCACCTGAGTACGCAGGGCCCCAGCCTCTACAGCCTTCTGCAGCCAGGAGGGGACAGGTCAAGGACAGGGGCAGATTCCCCTTCCTGTCCTGGCACCAGGCGCCTCCCGAGGAGGCAAAGAGACGGACGCTGCACCTTCCCTTCCCACCAGGTCCCAACGCACCCTCAAGGGCGAGGGGGGGCTCACGTGGCCCTGATGTGCGGCTATGACAAGCCTGGCCCTCCGGCCCTCCATCAGGTTCCCCCAAACGACTGCTACTACCCCACTCCCAGAAGTGTCTAGACATGTGCACTGAAGGTTCTGGACGCTTCTCTCAGTGCACGACCCCAGGAGGGCAGAAGCCCAGGTGCAGGTATAAGACCTGGGCAATTCTGGTGTCCGCCCGGCAGGGAGTGGGGAGGAGCCAGAGCCTTGGGCCCGGCACCAGGCCCCAAGGTTGCTGTTCCGAGCGAGTCCCTGACGTTCAATATTCCGCAGCTAATTCATCAGCCAGGATCTGCCCTCAGACAGACCTCCTGCCGCCTGATGATGGATGTGCGGGCAGCGGGCCGGCTGCAGAGCACGGCCAAACCCTGTTCAGCCTGGGAACAAGGAGCTGGCGAGGGCTCACCCCTCACCTTGTCTTCGGGGGCGGCAGCCTGTGTGGGGAGCTCTTGGGCTCTGTGGATTCAGCGCTGCCACCCCACATGCTGATGGCCCTTTCCTGCCCACCTGCCCCGGGAGGTGTTATAAAGACACCTCAGGGCTGGGGAGAGGTATGTGGGGGCAGAACAGAGCCAGGGGTGAGCAACTCTGCTCTCGGTGGAGGCAGGGTCCCACCCGGCCGGCTGCTGGACGCTCAGCCTCCCCAGGGCTGTGAGCTCGGATAAACAGCTCTCCCAGCCAAGTGACTAAGAGGGGCCACCACTTCCCTGCTGGGCGCGGAGCTGGCAGAACTAGACAGATGGCTCCCTGCACACGGCCCCACCCACGGCCCAGCTGCCGCTGCCTCCTTGCAGCCGTCTCCCTCCATCCGGCAAAGTAAATAAATACATAAGTTGTTGGCTGTTGCTGTTTTTAATGGGGGGTTGGAGGTGATGGGGAGAAGGACAAAGTTCCTCCGTGGGAACCATACTTCCTCTCAAGGGCCTAAAGCTGTTGGCAGGAACTACCAATCCCTGCAGGCTGCCCATCCCCCAGTCTGGGGGCGAGGGCTTCCTGTGCATTTGAAAAAGCACAGGTGACAGCAAAGGCGCCCACTGGAAGCTCAGGGTGCGGTGATCCCCGTTTGCCTGCCTGGTGGAAGAGACAGTGTGCACTGAAGGCTCTGGACGCTTCTCTCGGCGCCGGGTAGACATCGGAATTGACCAGGTCTGGTACCTGCACCTGGGCCTCTGCCCTCCTCGGAGGGGTGCCAAGGACCATGGGGTCACTGGGACCTGCCATGTGGCCAGGCGGCCTCCAGGATGCTCCCGGGGTCAGCTGCGAACCAGGAGTCTCCAGGAGGTGACGTGGTGAAGGGTCTCCTGTGGGGCCAGTGTAGGCCACTCTCCACACACAGCAGTTACACTGGGTGTGTGAGCACGTGTGCGCTCATCAGCACACTCATGAACTCCTGTCATCATGAACAGCCTCAGAGACGAAGTGTACTCCTGTTTGCCAATGCAGAGCCGACGCCCTGGGAGGAGGGCAGTTGGCCCTGGGGGTTAACTTAAGGCAGCTGGATCTTTGGAAGGGCATAGTCAGGCCCAGGGACACGGGTGGGGGTGGGGTCCCCAGGCATGGGCCCCCTCTGCTGGGGGCGCCCTGCTGGCTCCCGCCTGCTGGCTCTGGGCCTCCGATGTTCATCTTTCCCTCCTCCCGCCAGCACTGTCTCCCGGGCTCCTTTCCACTGGTGGGGAAGCCTGTGGCTTTCAGAGCCTAACAGTGCAAACCAAATGTTTTCCATTTTGCATTCTCTGTGCTTCAAGAATACACATTTGGAACTTGGCAGAGAGGGTGAGTGACTAAGTTCCACCCTCAGTAAAATCAAGAGCTTGTCCTTTTTGTAATTAATGAATGTCTGGTGCAAAGAGGGTTTCCAGTGGTAATAGAACAACTTCCTGTGAGCCTGAGGGACGCAGACCTTCTTAATTAGGAAGCCATGCAGCACAGCCTCTCCAGCCTTCATAACAGGAGACGAAAGGGATCTTGGGACAATCACCAGGCAATTAAGATATCGTCTGATGACCGGGGCCACTCAGCATGGTGTGGCCAGGGGCACTGGCGAGCTGCCCACAGGCGGCTGTGTCCCCCGGCTGGGCCCACAGACCCTGACCCAGGTGGGGATGGGCTGGGCACCGGGAAGCCACAGTCCGCGGTCTGGTGTCTAGTTCCTAGGGGCCGCAGGCTGGACTGAGCAGCTACTGCGCCAGGCTCAGCACCGCAGCCCCCAGCACACAGCATCACAGCCTCCAATGACACAGCCAATGTGGAGAGTCGTAAACACCCTCACTGGGGGTTCCCCTCACTCTGCAGCACTGGCTCCGCTCCTCAAATAACTGCCCTCCTGTGCGACCACGAAGTTCACCTGCAGAAGGGTCAACAGGTGGCCAGGAGAGGCAGGGAACACAGGTGCTGCCAGGCAGGAGGCAGGAGGGTGCCACCCCCACAGGAGAGGGGGCTCGGGACCTGCTCGCAGCGCTGGCCCCTGGCCCGGGTGTGCTGACACGCCGACCCCTCCTCACTGCCTTTTGCCGAGCCCTTCCCACGGGCTGGGCCCGGTCCAGGAGCTGCGCTCTCACTGCCAGCCTTTGCCCTGTGTGCACTGTGTCAGCATCTTTCCCGCCGTCTGTCTGAGGCCACACGGTGCCCGGAACACAGTGGGGTCCCGGAAGCATCTGCTGAGTGAATGAACAAGCAAACCAATGAAGATCAAAGCAAGAAAGTCTGAATTCCAAACTGACGTGACTCTGTGTTAAAGATCAGAACTGACTCAATCGGCAAGTTTGAGCAAACTCTGGGAGATGGTGAAGGACAGGGAAGCCTGGCGTGCTGCAGTCCATGGAGTGGCAGAGAGTCGGACACGACTGAGTGACTGAACTACGATTCAGAACTGAGGATTCTGCTCAGAGGACACATTTAGGCATCCTCCACCTCGAGCAGCTCCAGAAGGCTAGGACCACTGAGGGGCTCGATAGGGGCCTGTGCTGGTGACAGGAGGCACGAGTGGGGTGTCCAGTACACCTGGGCATGGACAACGCCCCCAAAGCATCTCCACTCCTGCAGGCAGGGCTGGCATGCTACTCTCTGATTCTGTGCGCACCTACCAGTGAGTGGGGAGGCCCTTCTGCACCCTTCCTACCCCTGGGGGGTTCCAGGGTCTTTTCGTCCTTGTATCTCTGAGCACCCAGGAAGGGGCCACCTTGGCCAAGGGGTTCAAGGTCTGCTCCATGTCGACTTCATGTCAAAGTCACGTCTCATCGCTGGCACCGTGGTCTGGGTGGGTGCGGATAACCATCCCCACCCAACACCGAGTGAGGAGGTGGGTTGGCACTGTGTGAATTCAGTGCTCAGTTCCCGCTGTGGGCCCAGAGCACACCCCAACACCAGCCCCATCCTGGAACAGGGAACGGCCTCACGGGCACCCAGGCCTTGGGAGCCAGTCCTCAGGAAACCTGTATGGTGACTGGCCCTGGATGGGGCCCTGAGGTTTGGCCGTGATGGAAGGAGGAAGCACCTACAGCTGAGAAAGTACAGAGCTCACATTTCACCGCTTCTTGGTGGAGCCCTGCCAGCTATGAGCCCGCCCCTCCAAGAAAGAGGGAAGGCCAGTGGCCTCCTCAATTTCCTCCCTGCCTCCTGTTTTCATCCTGATTTGTCATTTCAGTGCTGGCAACGGAGGCCCCGGGTCCAGGCCCTGTCTTCCACCTGTCAGCAGTTCCTGGTAGACCAGGAGGGGACGGTCTACAAGCAGCGGCCAAGACCCCCACATCACAGGTTGCTCTGAGGTTTGGGTTTTCTGGAAGCCAAGCAAACCGGCTTTGAAAAGACCCTGCTCCATGACCCCAATGTGACGTGGCCATGCTTCTCAGCTCACCGGGGAAAACAAATGATCCTTTTCCAAATGACCCACAAAGCAGTTGTGAATGCCCATGTCCAAAACTGGCATCATGTGACTGCCCTGGCACAGGGTCCAGGTGGCTCCCTCTGTGAGGGGAGACCTCCCCCAACGCGGGTCTTCCAGGACCTCGGGGTCTGCAGCACCAACATCTGAACCAGAGAACAGAAACCAGCCTTGCCCCCGCTTTAACACAGGGTCCACTAGTTCTCACGTTTGGGGGGACTAAAGTCCTCCCACTCCCAGGTTGAAAAGTCACCCCTAGGAGGTGCTGGGACCAGTGTGGAAGCGGGTCCCAGGGAGGCACCCCTCCAACTCTGCCCTTCACCCCGACCCTTGAGGTCAGAGGGCACGGCCACAGGAAGGCCTTCAGAGGGAGCTGGCTGGCTCCACAGGCCACACTCGCCTTTAACAATCAGCCTGGAAGTACCGGCATCTGCTGGCGCGGTGCAGCGGGCCCTCCCAGCATAAAATATTCATCAAGAAAAACTCCCACAGCCACGCTGCCTTCCGTGTCAGCCAGGCCCTGGGGACGGGAGCTAAAAATAGACAGAAGGAGAAGTGCTGACAATGGGGGTGGGGAGGGCTGAGCCCCCACGTGCCACACGTGGGCTCAGAGACAGACGACGCGATGTTGGTGGTTCCCCAGTGAGCGCTGCAGAAGCCAGGCTGGAGGCCGGGGACTCTGCCCACCCTCCCCCACCAGAGGCTATTTTTATCCACATCGGTGGCCCCAGGACACCTCAGTGAAGAATCAAAGACCATCTTTAATTAGCAAGGATAGCCTGCGTCTACATGCAGCCAGCCAGCGAGAAGCAGCCATCACCAGCACTGGCCCCGAAAACCTGGGAATTCAGTCTCCGTCCCATTCCCTTCATCAAGCAGGTGACTTCCTCTCGCCTGCCCACCCTCATCCCAGTTTCCTGGGTTTCTGGAAAGGGCGCAGGCAGCCCCCCAGGTGCAGAGACGGGCCCAGCCCAGGAAGGCCAGGGGCTCCTCTACAAAGGGCTCCATGATCACAAGCAGCTCTCCATGGAGACTAGACCCTGGGGGAGGCACTCTTCCCAGACTGCTGCTGGCACTGGTCTTCCCAGCAGGCTGAGTTCTGGGGTTCAGGCAGGGCAGAAGAGGCACCACAGTGCCTTCAATTGAGCCTAAAGCAGCCCCTGGGCGGGCACGCCACACAACCACCAATAGCCAGACTGCAGACCTTGCCAGGACACCCTGTCCACCTGCATCTACAACGGAAGAAGCCTTTTCAAAATGAAGATGGTGGATATCTTCAGATATGCTTGGTCTCAGGGCCATGTGGGGGGCCCTGCAGGCCCCACTCCTTCAGCCAACAGCAGAGGAAAGGGCCGGAAGGGAGGTCCTGGGCCAGGCCTGCCCTCCAGCAGCTCAGGGGGGCCACAGGTGGTCGCTGCCCCTCCTCTCCTGTGACCAGCCCCATCCCCAGCCCTCTCAGTTGCTGGCTCCTTTTGAGCTCCCCCTTCTACCAACTCCAGGTTGTTTCCAGGCAACAGGAGTCACAGGATGATGGGGGGAGGAGTAATAAGGCTTTATCCAGAGAGGGGAGAGAAGGTCATCGAAGGAGAAAATTATCTGGGAAACCATGGCAGGAGCTGACATCGTGATGACTGGAGGGAAGTGTCCTGGCAGAGGAACAGCCAGTGCAAAGGTCCTGAGGTTTGGGTTTCAATTGGGTGAACCTGTATGGTGACGGGCCCTGGATGGGGCCCTGAGGTTTGGCTGTGACGGAAAGAGGAAGTACGGGAACAATGGCGGCCGACTTGGCTGGACCCATCTGTGTCCAGGGCACTAAGGAGCTGCTGAACCATTGAGGTGGGAGAGGCAGCGAACATGATTCTGTTCTAACATTTGCTCAGACACAGTGCAGTCAGGGAGGTGGCAGCAGGAACAGGGCGGGTATGTGGCTTGGAGCTGAGGGGGGAGAGGAGCCAGGCCGAACACACCGGGAGGAGCGGGGTTCTGGGGAGAGGAGGCTGGGAATGTTATGCTTGAGATGCCTGCTGAGACCCTGGGGAGGAAACAGAGGCAGCCTGGGGCCTGGGCCCACCCCCAACCAAGGGCAGGGTGCAGGCGGGCTCTCTCAGAGCCCGGGTGAGCTGGCCATGGGGTGGCTGTCTGAACACCGCAGAGTCCCTCACAGTTGAGTCATGCCAAAGCCAGGGAGAGGCCAGTGAGATTAAAGATGGAGAGCATCCTTGGATGGGGCTGCCCTGCTGGAGCCTGGAGGCGAGGGAGGCGGGAGGACAGAAGTCAAGGCCTCGCTTGTGTGTGGTGCAAATTCAGTAAATAGGACGGAGATGCTGGGGGTGGCCAGGCTGACAGGTGTCCCCAAGGGGCCCTGTGGCAACATGGACAGAGACAGGACAAGGGTCTGGACAGAACAAGGGTGAGCCTGCACTTGGGGCAGAGAGGGTCAAGGCTGGAGGTCAGGTCTGTGGGTAGAGGTCAAGGGAACACAGATCATCAACCAAGGGGCCAGGTGGGGTGGCAGCCATCCCGCTGCGCCATCAGGGTGGCGTGCAGGTGAGGTGAGCACCCCATCCTTGGGCTCAGGAAAGCCCATCAGGAATGCTGGGGGGAGGTCGGGGGGAGGTGAGGCTTTCCCAGGGAACCCACCACGACTGATGAGAGGTGGGGGGTGCTGTGGCTGAGGACCTGAGAGGGAGAGGCCGAGGCTGATGGACCCCTACCCCCGCCCCCCACAGGCCTGGTCACCAGGCAGCAGGGCCAGGGCTGTATGAGGGGAGGTGTCAGTCCAGAGCCCACCCGAGGACGGCACCCTCCCTGGCCACCCCTTCCTTCCTTCAATACGGCACAGCCCCCACCCTTCAAGGCCAGGTTCACCAGCCCTCCTCTCTGCAGCACCCCCTCCACCCCCCAACCTGCTTCACCCAGGAGGGGCCATGCGGAACGGGGAGGGAAAGGAGAGGGCCTGGTGGGCAGCCAAGGCTCCTCTGGCCATGTTAGGAGCCTTCATGAGGCCGGATGCCTCCCCCGCCAAACCAAAGTGCTGCCCCGTGGGCCTGTGAGGCCCCAGAGAGGAGGAGCAGGGTGGGGGGGCACATTAGCATCTCCAAGAGGTGGGACTCAGCTGCCACCAAGAAGTACCCCCCCAATGCAGGCCAGACAGCCATCCTCAGCCAGGGAAGAAGCATGAAGGACCTCCTGCAGTCCCATGAGGAAGTGAGCTTCAGCGCCATATGTTTACTGTGACAGAGGCTCTCAGTACACGCTCTTCTCCAGGAGGTGGGGATCTGCGTGGGGCACAGACGCGGCGGGGGCGGTGGCAGCCCTGGGAGGCGCTTCTGGAAGCAGGGCTCAGACTGCCAGGGGGCCCGAGTCGCTTGCCAGCCACTTCCACAAAAGCGCCAGGCGCTGGAGACCCTAACACACCCCCACCCCTGCCCAGGCTTCTGTGCTCTGCACAGCCCAGCCCAACCTCAGCCAGGGATTCCAGCTTCCTCCTGGCCCCCTAGTGGCAGACCCAGGGCCTGACTCAAGACCAACCAGGAGCAGCCTGAGCAGAGAGGCCTTCTCCACACCCAGGCTCCCATGGGCCAGCTGCGTGAACATCTACAAGTGACTCAGCCTTGCTGGGCTGAGGGGGTCCTCACCAGTGTAAGAGGGTAACGCGCAGGGAAGCCTGGCCCCCAGGGCCAGGCTGAGCTTGGCATCACTAAGAAATGTGTGAAGTTATAAAGCTCTCATTAGCCTCAAGGGAAATCTGGATGCATCATCATTCCTTCATTTGTTCATTCATTCCTTCCTCATTCGTCCAGTACACAATTACCGAGTGCCTCCCAGCCAGGCTTCCTCACCACTCGCTCCCCCACTCCCCAATCCTGGCCGCCTCTGCTCCCTAACTCCTGGGTTCTCTCAAGGCTAGCTCATGCCAAGTTGCTGGCATTTGAGCTTCTGGGACCTCCCAACATGGCCCTTACCCATTGGCTTTCCTGGGGGCTCCTGTTTAGCCCCCGGGCACCACTTCACAGCCCTCAGGTGGAAGCTGCCAGCCGAGCACACACCCTGCTCCTCTGAGGACCCACAATGCCTGTCTCTTGTTTCAGGCCTTGCACACAGCAGGATTCACGCACTTTCCAGAGAGCAGCCCCCTACATACTGAGACTTGCAGACCCAGTGACCCCCAGGGAGCACATGTGTTCTAGTCTTCGTGAGGCTCAGACAAGTGGGGGTGGGACAATCGGCAAGTGACCAGCATCACCAAATCGGGGGGCTGGTGCTTTGGAACAGGGCAAGGCAGGGACAAGGCCAGACCATGATGGGGATGCTGGATGGGGGTCAGTGAGGCTCCTCCAAGGAGGCAACACTGAGCTCAGCCTGGGGGGTGAGGACTGACCCCTGCAGGTGGCCTGGAACCTCTGTGGGAGCAGCAGGGCTCCAGGTGAGGCAGAAGCAGGCTGGGGTGGAGTAAGTGGCAGGGGCGGGGTGCACAGACCCTCAAGGCATGAGCCTTAGGACCACGCGTTTTATTCTAAATGAACCAGACTCCTGAAGTTTCAGCAGGGAAGTGACAAGATCTGCACTGCTGAGAACAAATCACCCCTGTGCTGGAGAAGTGTGTGTGTGTGTGCGCGCGTGTATAAGTGGGTGAGTGTGTAAAGGAGGGAGGGACCAGGAAGAGGTGCTGTCAGTGATCCCAGAGGGAGGGGGAGCCTCAGAAGACTCTGGTGATGTGGGAGGGGGGTTCAGGATGGGGAACACATGTAAATCCATGGCTGATTCGTATCAATGTATGGCAAAAACCACTACATATCGTAAAGTAATTAGCCTCCAACTAATATAAATAAATGAAAAAAAAAAGACTCCTGTGATTGTGGCCTTGAGTGCTGGGGGTCCGCGGGTAACAAGAGCTGGGATGGGGGCTGGGGGGCGGTGCTGAGGCGGGTGGGAAGAGGGAGGGAAGTCCTTACATGCTCAGTGAATCCAACCGTCTCTTTTCCAAATTAAGAAAATGCTCATGACCCTCAGCCCCAGCAGCCCCAACAGCAGTCTCTGGGGTTGTGGAACCCAGGACAGTTCCAAGGGAACCCTGCTGGGGACTGAGGCTCTCCAGGATCTGTGCCTGGACTGGAGAACCAGGGTCTGCTTGTGGTGGTAGCTGCCCGCCTGCACCCAGTCTGGGAAAGGCCATGAGGCCCAGCCTCGAGGTGCGGGGTCTGGTTTGGCCCCATTGTGCAGGACTCAGGCCAGGGGCTCCTTGAGAGGACCCTGGGAGGGTCCTCTCCCCCTACCCCGCTCCAGCAATCGTACACAGCATCAGGACCCCCAGGGCAGCATGCTCATCCCTCGGCAAGGAGCTTGTAAGGGGCACCACCTCTCACACTGTCTGCCCAGCCCCTCCCCCGCGCCCCCAGGGATGGGCTGTCACATGTGACCTGCACCTCAGCCAAGGCCGCTGGCCCCTCAGGAGTGGAGGGGGCCCCAGCAGCCCAGAACAGACTCTTGTGACTCGGTTTCTCCTGGAAGCCTGGTGAGTGCCCAGCAGGCTGGCCCAGCATGGGGGTCAGTCACTCCTAAGGACACACGGGCCAGAGGGGTCACTCACCACGAGCTGAGGCACAGGCAGAGACTTGCCCTCTGGGCTCAGGGACACGTAGGTGAAGAAGGCACTGGCGGCCCGGTAGCGCTTCACAAAGTTGTTCACCACGGGGTCGGCGTCCACCAAGACCTCAATCTCCATGGACTTATTGCTGGTGAAGGTCATGCGTCCAGAGATGGTGATGACACAGCCTGCGGAGCACAGACAGCAGGTCAGGGTGGCCAAACCAGGCCGGACAGGGAAGACGCTGCAGATGCTGGTGAGACAGCACAGACCACAGTCCTCACTGTGGATGTCACAGCGCCAGCACACGGGAACCCAAGAAGGTTCACTTTCTGATTAGCAAGTGGGCCTCCTTCACTTACGGAAACATTCAGAGCCAAAGGGGTCCCGGTGGCCACCCAGGCAAGGGTCTCTACCCCCGAGGTGGCAGCGTCTGGGGAAGGGTGCCAGCCCCCCACGTGCTCTCAGGTCCCTTGGTGGGTTAAGGCTGAATCTGTGCTGACCACGCTCTGGCCTTACTTGTGGCCCTGGAGCTGCACGGCTGCCTCCCCCTGATTCCCCACCTGCTCTAAGGGCCACTGAAGAACCTTCCTCCACCCTCCCCAGTTCCTCCCAGCCAGCTCTAACATTCCGGATGCTGGTCTGACGGCAAGGTTGCGTGTACGGTCAGGCCAAGCCTTCACGCTGACCGCAGTCCTAAATCCCCTGGAGCCACCGTCTGCACTCCAGCCCATGTCTCCTTCCTACCTTCTGTCCAGGTGGGGCTGCGTCTCTCCTCCCCGCCAGTCTTGCCCATGGGACCAGCACTCTTCCCTGAGCCAAAGATCTGCCCTCCAAAGACTCCCCCATGGCCCTCTCTGTGGCCAGAGTCCCCGTATGCCCCCACCTCCCAACTCCAGCAGTTTTCCTCACAGACGGTTACACATTCCCATGATACTGTCCGGGGGGGGGGGGTCCCCTGCTTTCCCCCCACCACCCCCCCAACCTCTCCGCACTCCCCACACCCTTGGGTCCTGAACACCTACCCTAGAGCATCTCTCCCAGTCACAGGCTCCCTGCACCTCTGGCCTTGGCCTTCCCTTCCTCTGACTTAATCTCACGGAACCCAGTTTTTCTCCTATAAACAGACTTGAGGTGCCCCTCGGGGTAACTAGGGACTGGCATGAAACGAGCCAGGTGCTGAGGCTCCTGCCTGGTGGCAGCAGGCATGCGGTGCACTTATTACCACCACTGATGGTGCTTTGCACCCCAAGGCAGCACTGATGCTTAGGGCTTTCCTCTGACACGTGCCCAGGACCACCACCCCAAACCAGCCTGCTTCTGGGCCAGGCTCAAGGAAATTCCTGTCTAGATCAGACCAGTGCCGGCTGCAGTGACCTAACAGCTGAGAACCCCAACGTCCCAGCTCCACAGAGACAGCCCCACAACACATGTTTAGAGACCAGGACAGACAAGTCGGGGCAGCGGGTGATGGTTAGGGGTCAGCGTGTGGGCAGTCAGAAGCAGGAGCAGTTATTTGTGTTATAAAGTACAGATGCTCTGTGCCACACTCACCCCATATTCACAGGGAGCACTCCGTGTCGCACATGGCCACTTCTGGGGGAAAGGAAGGCCAACAAGTCAGCAACGAGCAAAGTGCCTAGGCCCACGCTGGGAACAACCCCCACGTGGCCCCCAGGGGCCGTCTCCAGGGGAGTCGGAAGGGGAGGTGGGCGTCCCTGAGGGATGTCCCAGCACCCCTACCCATCCCCATCAGCCTACCCCAGTGCCGCCGCCACCCTCTCACCCATGATCAGACAGCGGCCTTGGGGGGGCCACGAGCTGAGGAAGCAGGCCCCTTCCTCAACAGGAAACTCACCAGAGCTCCCAGCCAAGGGGCAGGGATGCAGGGGCAATGAATGCAGAGCCTTTTAACAACTGTTTGTCCAAAGAACAAATGAAAACACACCCATGCCATATCTCCTGTGTAAGCCCCCCACCAACTGCATGGCTGATCATTTCGGGTAGAAATGTGAAGAAATTTTTCATCAAAACTGACTGCAGACAACGAAGCAGGCTGATGATGAATTTGAGACCCGAGGGGACATGGTCCTGAGAGCCACTCACGGTAGGAGACACAATGACTGCCTCCTGGAAGTCGGGAAAGATTCAGTACAGCCAACACCAGCCTCCACCTCTTGGAGACGGCAACACTCCTACCTCACGAGCCCCAGGCTCCACTCACCCCAGGCTGCCTCACACGGAGGTGCTTGAAAACGGGAAGCCAGACTCGGTAATTGAGGGGCAGGGACTGGATTTGAAACTGACAAGAAGAGACCCCAGTGCAGCCAAGGGCCAACCTTCCCTGACCCTTGGCTGGGAAAGTACACCCCACACAGCCCTGGGGTCTGCGGTCAGTCACTGGGGAAGGGGTCAGTCATGGAGGTCAGGGGCACCCCAGGGCAGCTGTGGCCACACCCATGGCTTGTCAGCTCGCAGGAGCCAGCAAGGCTCCCACCAGCCACTGCCACGTCGCCAGCTCCCCCCAGGACCTGAGAGCACGGAACCGTCAGTCCACAGAGGCGGAAGTCACCAGCAATGGGCCCAGCTTTGTGGAAACAGACATGCCTACTCTACAGACCACCCCCCACACAGCCCCGCCCCATCCACCCTCTGCTCAGGCACCTCTTTCTGGAACAGAGCTCTTCTCTTTCCAGGCATCCAGCCCCAGGCACCTGCAGGTCTGCTCAGCTCCCTCACAGCCTGAGGGCCCCATGAGAGTGGGCGCCCCTCACCCCTGAACCAACACGTGGCCCTGTGTGGACAGCGGCCATGGAAGACTCCAGCCGGGTGGGGCCCCTCCTGCAGACGCTTCACCTCAGCTGCCACGGTGGCCGCCTCTGCCCAAGCAGCCCGGCAAGCCACACTCCCTCCCTCCTCCCTGGGACCAGGGGCAGGGCCACCACCTCTAGGGGTGCTGGGCCGGCCTCAACCTCAGCCCAGGACAGTGGGGGCCTGTCTGGGTAGAGCACAACCCCAGCCTGAGTCCAGCTGGGCTCCTGTTCGCTTTGTCTCAGAAACTGCAAGGGCAGGTGTGACCTGCCACGTGCTCAAGGGTGCCCCATGGGGGGCAGTGAGACACACGTGGCCCTGGTAGAGTGGTCCAAAGGGCTGAGAAACTGCCTGGGGACTGTCCCACTAGCTCACACACCCAAACCCACCTGGACGACAGCACGTTTAAGAGTGGTGGAACACACTCAAGGGGAAAAACAGCATCTCCTGCAGGCGCTGGGTACCACGTGCCACCTTGGATGGGGTGGGATCCCAGGAAGTAAGGCCAGAAGGGACCAGCCAGTTCTCCTTCAAGCCACAGAAGCAGGAACAGATTAGCCCTAAAGCAGACAGACTGTCCCCATGAGGGGCAGGCTCTCCAGGTCTGGAACTGCCTGCCTGCGGCGCAGGCCCGCCAATCCCCCAGGATACGGTGACCTGCAGAGGAGCCCTGGGGCCCACGGGCGCTGGGGGTCCCACAGCCCTAGGTTTGACCTTGGGCAGGAGGCAAGGCTGGAGCCTGCTGTGCCTCAGTTTCCTTGTCTGCAAACGGCTGTCTCTCTGGGAAGTCACTCCCACACAGTACATGTGTGGATAGAAGCCCAGGACTGTCACGTCTGGGGGTCTGAGCGTCCTTCTCTCACAGCCCTTGGGGTGGGGGAAGTGTCTGAAAACCCATGGGAGAGAGTGCCCACGGAACGCCCTGTGGTGTCTCGAGGGCGTGAGAAGCGTCCTTCTAACAAGGTAATAAGAAGTGACATTTAAAACAAATCGCTTCCTTCCTCTCTTTCTGCAGCAGGCACATTTGCATCGGGCAAGAAGCTGCTTCTGACGCTGTCACAATGAATCAAACGGGCGAGTGCACTGGGCAGGGAGCCTCAGCTCTTCAGCGGTGAAGACATGGGTGAACCCCTGCCCTTCCACCTGGGCCCCAGGACACGGACAGTTGTCTCAGATCTGAGGCTGAGGAGTGACTGCATTCATGGCTGGACCCACGAGGGCATCCCCAGCATAGGAGCCTGTCTGAGAGGTGAGGACTCAGCTGTGCTCACGGGGACCCTAGTTCCAGTGCAAACCCTCTGTGATGAGCCAGGAAGCTCGCTGCCTCCGCCTGTCATCCCTAACCCCCGAACCTCAGAGGGGCCCATGCCCACTGCTGGGAGGCTGGTCACAGAGGGGGAGCACTTCCCATCCCACAAGAGCTGAGGAGCTCCGTGCTCTCCTGGGGTTTCTGCTAGCATCCTATCCCAGGGCTCGCAGGGTGAGACCCAGGTGGGGAGAATGGCAGAGCTCAGAAGTGGGCTGGAGCCCCACCGCCTCTCTGTGTCAGCTGGAATTTAACACAAAAGGACCTCACAGGTGGGATGAGGTTAGAGATCTTGAGGTGGGACCTCAGCCTGCATCACCCAGGTAGGCCCAAGGTCATCTCAGCAGTCCTCACGAGAGGATGAGGGAGCCGTGACCACAGACGCAGGGTCAGGGAGATGCTGGGCCATGGCTGTAAGGGTGGACAACGGGCCACAAGCCAGCGAGTGCAGGCGCCTCCAGAAGCCAGAAAAGGCAGGAAGCAGATTCTCTCCTAAAGCCTCAGGGAGGATCACAGGCCTGTTGACCAGGGAGTAGCACTTTCAATACTGACACTTTCATTACTGACATTGAATCATGGCAGCATGTGGCTACTGACTGTTGTGGAGACGCTGGGGGGCACGTGCGGGTAAACCAGACATAAGCAGATTTAGAGCTACTGGGAGCAGAGACTGAACTGTCTGCCTCTAACTGTCCGAATTTAGCAGGAAAAGGTGTCCCTGGGCCGAGACTATGAGGGGACACAGGCAGAGCCGGGCCTTCCTTGGGGCCAGACGCCAATGACTACAGAACCCTCAGCCCTGTTTCAGTCTGGAGTCTCACATACGTGTGATGGGGGAACCATCACTCCTCTGGCAGTCCAGTGAGAGCATCTACAGTGGCTGGCGCTGCAACTGATCAGCATCGCCGCTGAGGCTGACGCCCCTGGGCCCTGGCAGAGGTCCCCGTGCAGTTCAGGCCCGGAGGGTGGTGGGAGGGCACCAGGCATGGGTTCGAGAGCTCTGACCTTGGAGCCACTGTCCCCGCCTCCCCGCCTAGCTTCACCACGGACCCGCCCTTTGGCCATGGCACTTTCTTTAATCCCTTGACCAGCAGTTTCCAAATCAGAAAACGGGATAAACAGGGCTCCTGTCTCATTGGGGAGGACAATCGTACCCTCACCCATGTGAGGGGTAATTGTGTGAAGCATTCAGCCACGCCTGGCACTCAAAAGTGAGCAATGCACCGGAGTTAAACAGAAGAGGCACCCGCAGCAAGCCGAGCTGCAGGTCACAGCTGATATGTTTCTAAGTCACGGCAGGGCTGCCTCGAGGGGCCACCCAGGAGGGCCGCCAGCTCCCCCTGCACATGGTGCCTCTTCCAGGGCAGGTTTCAGACAGGGATTCGGAAAAGAAAGCAGAATACTAAAACATCACTCTTCCCAAGGCTACACTGCCAAGTACTGCAAACTTTGAGAAGAGCTCAGTGTCTAAGCTCCAAGGAGCTGGGGCAGCAAGTGTGCTTACGATAAGCATCTTCTAGAGACTTCGCTTCCCACCCTGAGAGTCTGAGGGGATCACTTCTCCACAAGAGCAGTGTAGGTCAGCTGTAGGTTTTCCTACCCAAGGCCTCCAAAACCACTAGTTGCCTCCAAAGGCAACTATTTTCCCCTTTGCACTTTTCTTAGCATTTCGGCATCTCAACAAAAAGCCAGAAATGGAGCAAGTGAAAGTAAGCTCAGGACTTTAGGCTTCACCACCTTGCCCCGACTGACGCTGGCAGCCCTGTTTTCAGGCGGGCGGTTGGGGTCCCCTGTGCCCTCCCCCAGCACTGACCTCACCTCGGTACCACTTTCTGAGGGGTCTCAGGTATGTGACACTGGACTCCCCCCCAGGCCCGACTCGTGGACAAAGTGCTCCTCCTCCACCTCGATGGCCTGGCTCGAGTTTGATTCTGTACATGACCGCCAAGACCCCCAAACCCGCCGACCTCAGGGGGAAGGGGGACGAACCCTGGAGGACTTTCAGTGCCCGGTGGAGGGGCTGGGCTGAACCCGGTGGGGTCACTGGTGTTAAAGACTGTGAACGTGGGCTGGAGGGAGGGCCGATGAGGGTATAAGAGGTGGGCCCTCTGTGGTCCAGGCGGCAGTGATGGCTCCAGGAATCTGGTTGGTGACATGACAGCAAACCTGCCACACCCTACGAGCGGGCACTGTCCCCACCCTGCAGGCTGTCCCCACTGTGTCAGAAGTGTGGGTGCCACCGAGCCCCCTCTCAGTACACACCCGCTGGGGCTGAAATTCAAAGTCGTCCTCTGAACTACTTCCGGGCGATGTTTTCATGCCACAAAGCTGCACATGGCTCCCTGACAGACACCCCCCAAGTGACCACTGAGGCCACAGCCGGGCCGGCGCCTGCTGACAGCACACCAACGCCCGCCCTCCGAGGAAGCAGCCTCCCCGGAGGCTGAACAGAGACACAGCTGAGCAGTTCCCGCCTCAACCTAAAGGCCTGGCCTCTCCATTCCAGCTGTTGTTCAAATGAAATATGGTGAAACAGGGGACTCAGAGAAAGTCACACCCCCTCTGCTAAGACCCCATCTATGGTCATCAGAATAATGGCCCCCAAAGGCGCACCTGGCCTCCATGACGGGGAGGGGATACACTGCTGACACCTGGAGCTCCCAGGCTGTGGTCACCGCTGCGCCGCCTGGGAACACTCACACGCCCTCTTGCTGCCCTGCCCTCCTGCCAGCAGAACTGGACACAGCCATGCAGCCCTCCCCTTCGCGGCAGCACCGGCTCCTGCCCTCTCGGCCGAGACCAAGGACCGGCAGCAGCTCACAATCTGCGCCCTGAGAGCCCCATGGGCTCACAGTCATCTCAGCAGATCTGCATCAGAAAATCGAAGCGGAACCATGGGGAATGTCAACACCACCCCTTCACCAAGTGTCCGACACTCTTCTGATGCCTGGCGCCAGGAACCCTGAACCCGCGGGGTCATCCAGGCGCGGCCGGCCTCGCCCTGCGCATCCCCAGAAAGGAACGGACAGTGAGAGAGGACAAGGGGCCAGGGAGCAGCAGTTCCCCCGCGGCCTCTGCTCCTCCATGTTGAACACGACATGTGACAACTGTCTGAAGCGGCCAGGACTGAGACCTCATCAGCAGTGACTGGCCAGGCTCCTCCTCCTCAAGCCACAGCGAGGCAGGGAGTGAAGAAGTCGACAGCTTCACACGGGGACACTCCTTGGGAAAACAACAAATAAGGTGTGACACTGTCTAATGGCCCCGGGGACACTGCACTGAAACGGGCCAGACTCCATAACTGTGACTTCAGTGTGGCTCACATTCCTTTATACACAAAACAAGATTTGATCTGAGAAGAGAGAAACCGTCTCTCTGCTCCCTGGGGCTCCCCAGGCCGGGAGGCCCAGCTCTGGGGCCCCGGGCTGCACAGGCTCAAGGCCAAGGCTCTGATGCCGCAAGGGGTTTGTGGGGGTGTGGGGTGCAAAGGGCTCAACGTCGTGGGGGGCAGCCCACAGCACAGCCCTCACTCTCACTCCATCCACAGTGGAATGTTCCAACAGAAAAGCACGGCTTGTGAAAATGAAGATCCCTCTCACTGTGTTTTGGGCTTTTGTTTGGCCACGCCCTGAGGAATGTGGGATCTCAGTTCCCCGAGGAGGGAGTGAACATATGCCCCCAGCAGTGGAAGTTCAGTCTTAACCGCTGGACCACCAGGGAAGTCCCCTTTTCTCTGTGTTTTGGAATAAAACTAACTTTTCAGAAACAAAGTCTTTTCTGCACCCACATTGCCCTGACATCTCCCAGGTTTCAATGCATCCCCAGGAAAAGTGCTCTCCTCCGGCCAGGGTTCACAGTGTTCCCTCAAAACGAACCAACCAAGCATCTCCTTGCCCAACGAGCATCTCCTTGACCTCCCCAACCTCCCTACTGAAACGTGATTCTGGTCACAAGAGGGATGGAGGGTGAAGAGCCAGGGGTGAGGAGGGGTGGGCTCCCTGTTTCCAACAAAGGCAGACTTCACTCTCTGGGGCCTTCCCCTCAGCGGTGAAAGACCTGGCTGATGGGCTGATCTGGAGGAACTGGCCACCTCTGGAGGACACCCAGCTGGCAGTTCTCAGAGGGCACTGGGGATACACTGAACAAGCATGAAACCACTGTGGGTTCTGACATCATGTTTAACAGGGACACTGTGATCACAGTGATTTATCCAGGGAGCAGTCAGTTCCAGAAAAGGAGGGTCCAGGACTTGTGGCCGGAGAGGACCCTTCCTCTCCCGAACATCCACAGCACCCACATATACAGCACCAAGGCCCTGGGAGGACCTGCCAAGATGGACAAGACCCACTCATTTTGGGAAAATTCTAAAAGGACTGTGGTCTGCATCTGACACAAATACCTACTAGTTGGGAAGGGGTTCTAAAAGCAGGGAGTCACAGACCACCCCTTCCCTCCCCTAAAGCACCCACCCCAGTCCAGCGCGGGTCAGATGATGTGCTCTCGACCAGGCCGGGAGAGGAGGTGCCCCTGCTTCAGGTTGCTCTGTCCCCAGTGGGCAGCACTTATTTGCCAAGCATGTCTGCAGGCGTGTGCGTGCAGCTGGGCTGGACCCCAGCTGGAGGGGGCCTCAGATGCCTGGACCGCTGGCACTGCTCCGCCCAGCACTGCTCCCTGAGGCCGGGGGCGAGGAGTCAGCCCCCGTCTTCTCTCTGTCACCCCCACCTTCTCTCTGTCCCTCTCACTGCCTGGACCCCTGACCCCAGAGTGAAGTAAGGGCTGCTCTCCAGGGGCACACAGCCTCATCTCACAATAGACTGAAGGGACAGTCACTGTATGTCTTCAGACGAGCACGGAACCATTTCCGGGTGGGGCTGGGACTGGATCTCTGCTGGGAAAACCACCGGCTCTGTGCTGGATGGTGCAGATGGGCTGAAGGCTGGGGGCTTCCTGCTCTGACCCGGCCACTGCTGACAACACAGGAGATCCATCTCCACTCCCCCAGAGGTTAGACGCCACCACCGTGCGGCGGCAGCAACTGTGTACGTGGGGTCTTCGCAGGGCTCTGTGTACCAGGCCCCTCAAGAGGGTAAGTTTACACTGCTCTTCAACAGGAAAGAGTGACAAGTGTTAGTCGCTAAGTCTTGTTCGACTCTTTGCAGATTGCAGCCTGCCAGGATCCTCTGTCTGTGAAGTTCTTCAGGCAAGAATACTGACGTGGGTTGCCATGTCCTTCTCCAGGGGAACCTTCCCAAACCAGGGATCGAACTGGCGTCTCCTGTGTTGCAGGCAGATTCTTTACTGTCTGAGCCACCAAGGACGCCCCTTAATGAGATGGTTGGATGGCATCACCAACTCAATGGACATGAGTTTGAGCAAACTCCAGGAGACAGTGAAGGACAGGGAAGCCTGGCGTGCTGCAGTCCATAGCATCGCAAAAAGTCAGACACAACTTAGAGACTGAACAACATCACAATGGGATAAAGCCACAGGCCTTTATCGGCAAATGGGCAGAGACCAGGGCCCGGGGGAGCCAGGGTGAACCAAAAGCAAACTGTACACAGACCCAAGTAGCCAAGGCTGCCCCTCTCTGTCGGTGGAGTTCTGTTACCTTTTCGGATCTTGTCATGGAAGTTAATGGCATCCACGGAGGCCGTGACTATGTTGGTCTTGCAGTGACGTGCGGCCACGATCCCAGCCACCTCGTCCATGAGCTTCATGGTGACCCCTGCAGAGAAGGGCAGGCAGCAGGTTAGATGTGAAGGAGAGGAGCCCACTGCCCATCCTGGAAACAAGTCATGGGAACTGATGCCCCTGCTTCCACCAGTAGGGCTGAAGCTGACTAAAGTTCAAGCTGAAAACCGTGCTTCCTGGGAGCTTTGGAAGACGACCTCAGCTGAGGGTCTAGGCCACTGACAAAGTGATGACCCTGCTCCTAATCTCTACAGGTGTCCTATCCTGTCAGGAAAGCTTCGTCACGCCCTCTTCTGGGATGGCCGCCATCAGAAAGCCAGATGACAAGAGCTGGAGGGAAGGTGGAGAATCAACCCTCTACATGGCTGGTGGGGATGGAAATCATGCAGCCATTTTGGAAACAGCTGGGAGGTTCTCAAAAGGCTGGACACAGAGTTGGCACATGACCCAGCAATTCCACTCTTAGGTGTGCACCCAAGAGAAAGAAAAACATCCATTCACACAAAAACTTGTACACATATCTCATGAGGGCCTTACTCATAATACACCAGAGCAGAGAAACACAGATGTGTATCCACAGCTAAAAGGACAAAGACAACGTAGTGTATCTGCACAGTGGAATATTGTTGTTTAGTTGCTAGCTTGGGTCCAACTCTTTTGCGACACCATGAACAACAGGTTCCTCCTCTGTCCACGGGATTTCACAGGCAAGAATACTGGAGTGGGTTGCCATTTCCTTCTCCAGTTGATCTTCCCAGACCAAGGATTGAACTCAAGTCTTCTGCATTGGCAGGTAGATTCTTTACCACTGTGCCACGTGGGAAGCCCCACAATGGAATATTACTTAGTGATAAAAAGAAACAAAGTACTGACAACAGGAGACAACATGGATGAAACTTAACATGATGCTGAGTAAAAGAAGTCAAATACAAAAGACCACATATTAGAGGATTCCATTCATATGAAATATCCAGAATATGAAAGTCCATAGAGACAGAAAGCAGACTAAAGGTTGCCTGGGCACAGGGAGTTCAGGAGAAGTGGGGACTGGCTCCTAATGTGGGTAAGAGGTCTCTCCTTGGGGTGATGCAAGTGTTCTACAATTGCTTGTGGTGATGGCTGTGTGACGCTGTGAATACACTAGAGAAAAATCAATGACCTGTAACGGATAAGCTGTATAGTACACTAATTACATCTCAATAAAGCTGTTATGTAAGAAAACAAGGGAGATCACACTAGTCCATCCTAAAGGAGATCAACCCTGAATATTAATGGGAACGGCTGATGCTGAAGCTGAAGCTCCAATACCTTGTTCACGTGATGTGAAGAGCTGACTTACTGGAAAAGACCCTGATGCCGGGAAAGATTGAAGGCAGGAGGAGAAGGGGGCTACAGAGGATGAGATGGTTGGATGGCATCACCGACTCAATGGACTTGAGTTTGAGCAAGCTCCGGGAGACGGTGAAGAACAGGGAAGTCTGGAGTCCTGCAGTCCCTGGGGTCGCAGAGTCGGACACGACTTAGAGAATGAACAACAACAATATGCTTTTTCCCTGCGACTAAGACAAGACTGTGGAAAAGAGAGTTCAAGGTCATGATGAGAGGTGGGGGTGACATTAGTGTGTGCAAGGTAGGGGGTCCTGCACCCAGAGTTCCCAGGTTACCTGGTGGTGTCACCAGGGGAGGGAAGACTTGGAGGTTGGACAAAAAGAATTTATGTTGGAATTAATGCTTAGAACATAGAAAGTACCTACAATTAATTCCTTACTTATTCATCCTAAAAAGCAGAAACTGTTAAGAGCAGACTATATGGAATAAGTAACAGTCAGCTCCTTCAACCAGCATTTTGCCCCATTTATCCAAAATGTGGGTAGAGGTTCCACAAGGGATTTCACTGTTACTAAAAATACTGCAGAATCTAGTGTGTGTGGCCGGGATGGGCCCCAAGCCCAGGGCACACGAGCTGAGTGGGAGAGGGGGAACGTGAGCAGCTGGTTGAGCTCCTGATGCCAGAACCCCCACCAGCCCAGACCACAGCATCACGTGACCTGGAAGCTGGCACAGCGTGGGGACACGCCTTATTGTCCCCCTGTCCTGACCAATTCCAAACCTGACACGCAGAACTCAGAAAGGACTGCCAACTGAGTGATCAAGGACCAAAAGAACTCTGATTGACCCAAGAAGGCAGCTCTGACAGCGAGTCCCCGGCCCACGCCTGTGTAACAACCATAGTCAGCTCAGGTGAGGCCGGGGAGAGCATGCTCATCTCATCCACAGAAAGCCAGGCGCAAGCTGCTCAGGAGCATGTCTGATTAAATCCACATCATTTAAAACTAGCGTACTATCTGAACAGACAGCCCCCTGCCCACCCCCAGCAGCCAGCACACAAATCTGGGCTGGGAGACCTGGGAGAGAACTGGATCTGGCCGCAGCTCTGACAAGAAACAATGGTGTTTATAGCACCGACCCCTGGACTGAGCCCATGGCCTCCTGGTGCCCAGGTCAGGAGCAAGCATGACCTCACCATGCAAGTCTATTGTCAGATGATGCCCCAATTTGGGGTTTATCCCAGGTCCTGGGACAGTGATACATGGGCAGCTGGTGACCAGAAAGAGGAGGAACCCCAGCCTCAAGGGACGAGAGGTCTGCTCCACATGGCCCCCACCTGGACCATCCCCATCCACCTCCGTTACCTCTGCCTCCCGGGACCACGGTGGGGTCACTGAAAAGTGACAGCAGGTAGATTTTAGCATTCAGGACACAGAAAAACTTTTGGGGAAGAACTTGGACGTGTGCAGAGCTCAGTGGTTGGCTTTACACAGGCAGGACTCCCAGCCCCCGCAGTGTGTGTGTGGGAAGTGCAAGGTCAGAGCTAGAAGCAGAAACCTGTGCCCATGGTTCCCACAGCCCCGAGTCTGTTCTCATAAATGCAATGGAGAAGCGTGAAGCAAAATCAGGCCCTCTGGGGTCCTGTGTGCAAAGTGGACTCTGGGGGCTACTCAGAGAGAAGGGGATTGATCTCATAAAACTGAGATTACAGGTACCTCGGGGATACTGTGAGCTCAGTTCCAGACCCCTGCAATAAAGGGAATTTAGAAACAGCTGGGTCAAACGAATTTTTTGGTTCCCCAGTGCATATAAAAGCTATGTTTCTACTGCACTATAGTCAATATTGAGTATGCAATAGCATTATGTCTAAAAAAGCAATGTACACATCTTAACTGAGAAGAATCTATCGCTAAAAGAAGCCGTCGGGTCCTTCAGCGAGTCATATCTTTGTGACAGCAATGACGGAGATCACTGATCATGGATCCCCGCTACAAACATGATAATGATCAAGTCTGAAATACTGGGAGAATTTCCAAAACATGACACAGAGACATGAAGGGAGCAGATGCTGTTGCAAAAATGGCACCAACGGACTTGCTCCATGCAGAGCTGCCATGAACCTTCAATTTGTTTAAAAAAAAAAAACTTTGAAGTGCAATCAAGTGAAACTCAGTAAAAGGAGGTCTGCCTGTATAATAATAAACACTGACTACGAGCTGTCTTCCCTCTTCTGGGTGAGCCCTGGACCGGTCGCTGCGTGGGTCTGGTCTGAGATATTCTTGTTCTCCCTGCTAAGAGAAAATGGCCCTTGAAGAAATAAGACAGTAAAACCCACATAATCTCAGTCCTTTATGATGTCTATAAAGAAGGACTGTCACCACAAAACACCCTTATCGATGACTGCAGACAAGATATATTACAATCAATGTGTCCACTGAGAAAAGTAAATTTTGTTTAAAAATAAAAACGGGGACTTCCCTGGTGGTCCAGGGGCTAAGACTCTGAGCTCCCAAAGCAAGGGGCCCGGGTTTGATCCCTAGGCAGGGAACCACATGCTGCAGCTAAGACGCAGCACAGCTAAATTAATTAATCTTAAAATAAAAATAAAAAACAACCCAGGAACCCAGTCACCCGGTTTGTAACTGTCCTTCCTCCCACTGCTGTCCTATCAGGGGAAGCCACCATCTCCCCTTCACTTTTTTTAATACTTCAATTAAAAATATCAAGCATCAGAGTTTTCTCAAAACTGCCTCTTTCTAAGTTTCCACTAAAAAACTGCACCAATCCCTTCCCAGTTAGGTACAACAGGTGCCGCTGACAATGGGAGGAGGACTTGGCAAGTTAGTCTGTTGTTCACTGTCCTGGTTGCCCGAGATGCGTCATTTAAAAGATGACAACAAAACTGTAGGACTGGTTGGCCTTGGGTTCTGCATTCATTTCAGGAATTATGGGAAGGGAAAAAATAAGACCTGCTTGGCCACTAACATACAGATAAACATCGGGTACCAGAGATATTTTTGAATCTAACATTTAACTGCTTACAGGTTGTTTTTTCCTTTTCCTTTTTTTAAAAAAGTATTGACAACACGTTGACTAGCTTAAAAATAGAGGCTTAATTTTCTTTTCCTGGACCCGCCGGGCTGACTGGGTCGCGCCTGCTGCAAACCAAAGCAGCCACTAGCGGCTCTCAGCTCAGTGCCACTGCCTCTGCCCGCACTGTGGGTGGCGATTTGCAATGCCCCCATTTCTATATTTAATCCTGGCTGACAAGAGTGTGGGCGCCGGCCTCCTATATTAAGAAAACGATAGTAAGTTCATCTTATTTTAACTAGCCCACCCTTTGGAAATTATAAGGGGAGTTATTTTAAGAGCCAGCTGAGCGACAGCCTCCGGAGACCGTCTGGCTTCTCCCTGCCAGGTTTCTTTATTTTTTATTTATTTTTTAAATTAATCAATATTTTTTCGGCCACACTGCAACGTTTGTGCGATCTTAGTTCCTTTGACCAGGGATTGAAGTGGTAACCCCCACAGTAGGAACACAGAGTCCTAACCACTGGACAAGCAGGGAAGTCCTCCCCACACTCCCCTGCCCCGCCCTCCCCACTCCCGATTTCAAATGTACCTGCAGGTCTCTGACACCAAGGACAGAGGAGTATTAACGAAGGTATCTAATAAAGATTGTATTGGGGGGTTAAACAATGCACA